AAAAAGGAATTATTTTAATTCAAAGTTGAAGCTTAGAAACGTGCATTATTCATGAACGACCTAATATATAATATCGGTCTTCCGTATATGGTAAACGATTTCGCGAACGAAGTTGCAAGTTATCACTCTGCAAGGACATTCTCTACGCAAACTTTGCTCAAACAAAGCCATATTTGGCCCAACTTTTCGCCAAAAAGCAGCAGCGTTACTGTATGCAGCACGTACTTGAAGGTGAGCTAAGAAGTGAATGTGCCTAAATTTCTAATTTTCTTTTTTTCTCAATTTCTATATACGATTTTCTTGCAAAAATGGTCATAAGTGTGTTCGAGAAGGCGTAAAGCAGATATGGAAGCCAAATTTATTCAATGTTCTATGCTGCATTCAATAGTATGTAGCTTGTTTGGATTGGTACTTCTGAACATTTCCTTGTGAGATAACTGCTATAATTTCTTTTTTTTTACTTAATCTGATTTTTTGCAAACTTCCAGAGCACTAGCTGAGTTTTTTCGGTGTTAAAGAATTGTATTATAGAAATACCGTCTTACCTCACTTTGCTCCAAATTATGAATCTCAAACAAAAATCAAATTCATGCAGTTTAGATAGGCCAACCATGAATGACATCTATGAAAGTTCCCCAGAAAATGGGCTTTTCGTGAAAATAAATTGGAAAGTCCATGCGGTGCAATAAGATATCGCACACGCGAACTTAATTATTCCAAAAATGCTCTGGAAAACCCTTCTTGAGCTTGTGTCAGCTTTACAAGTTTTTGTGAAACTCAGGCTAACCATACCAGTCGATACTAGCAAGGTTAGATTTAACATTACGGCGGTATTAGAAAGACTATTTTTCCATTTATTTACTTTTTTCTTTACTTTCTTTACAAAATAATATTTATTATTGATACTATGCATTACATATTACCCAATTTAGTTCAAAATGGAAGTAATAGTCAGCCCTTCACTTCAAGACTTGCATTGAAGCAAATTCTTAAAATCTACAAAAAAATGATTACATTGGAAATGCTTCACTTTACTATTAGTACTAAGGTCATACGACTACTGCTTGGTTAGTCTTTTAACTAGACTATGGCTATTCACTTTTGAACAAGTATGTGAAAAAAAATTCAGAAGCCATTTGATCAAAGGTGTGACATCTGACGATTTTTTTCCGAAGTTCAAAATTTGTCGCTTAATCTATAGCATAAGAGACCTTAAAACTCCATGCAAACATGGCTTTTGATTTGTGAAACCTGTTTCTTTTGTTCTGACTTTGTGAGTTAACACAAGAACTTGCGCCAGGGGCTCGGCACAGATGGTCTGGGGTCAAACTGGACTTCCTTTTTGAAGTTAAAAGCAAGGGGATATCGTTTTAATAAGGTCCTGGGGGAAACGCCGATAAAAAACGACGAACATGTCAGGTTTTACGAGTTGAACGTGTTCTTCCGCAAGCGCGCGATTTTCAAACGCAAAACTCTAACGAACAAATGGCTTGTTTACAGCCCAGAAACAATCACATAGCTCCGGATTTGGGCTATGTGTATACGATATTACTCCAAACTATGTTATGTAAAAAGTTCCCAAAACTTATGTGTCCTAATATCCTTTCCCGAATTTGTTGGTTTCTAGATCAACATCAAACCAACTGAGTTGGTTCGGAGCATAAATATCGGAAAGTTTACATAAGTTTTGGCCCTTTTTGATATGGACGATTAGAACGGTCAAAAATCTATCATATGGAGAAGAAAGCGAATCAAACCATTGCCTCTCCTCCTTTTCTGAGCCTAAAGTAGTGTAAATCTATGCCTTGATTGATACTGCGCTCCAATCACATGCAGTGTCCTTTGAACTATGCGGCGAAAAATATCGCCAGATTGTTGAGGCCACAGATTTGGTTGGCCTAAGAGGTTTCCAACATTCTGAACGCTAAAATGGTATCCTACCCAATGACAGAGCCAATCAACTCGAAATGTTTTCTTTTTGCTTTTGTGTTATATTAGGTTGATGCAAAAATAATGAGCGTTTTCCTGGGACTTTTTTCAGGACCACTTTTCTCCATTAAATTCTTTCTTCGAAACGGTTTCAGCACATTGTTGAAAAGTTCTTGTCATGGTCTATCTAGTGATGTTTGAAAAGGACTTCTAGCCTTCTCTATTTGGAATTTATAGAGCTTAAAATGATCGCACTCAAAACCAGATTTTCGTTGCATTAATTTTTCTGGCCAGAATTTGAGCGCAAATGAAGATGCTTTCTCAAAAACTTCGTCTCTATATGTAATGAAATTGTCTACATTATGCATACTTAAACACATTTTTTGAGGTTGTCTAAAGTGAGATATCGTCGCCTTAACATGGGTAATGGCTGTAGCTATTTTAGAGCCCATAACTTTCTTTTGAAGAATGCAATAGCTCAAACTTTGCTCATTTCTGTAAGCCTGAGGGTAGGGCATCCTGCTGCCAGTTCTAGCAAAAACATTTAGCTGTTCAGTACGTAGAGAATTAGAAAACTCTATACCTCGTGATTTTGAGGCCTACTGAAAAAATGCTGAAAAAGTTAATATTTTTGAATTTGATTTTCTCCTTTTCGCTAATCTTTTCTCTCCAGGCCCTTTCCATGTACATTTGTACTACTACTTCCGGCTACAAGATAGGCTGATTGTAAATCATGATAATAAAGTGTGAGAGGAGTTATGTTTTGTCAAAAACGAGACTTCAGAAAAAAAATTTTTTTTGGTTTTTTTATCCCTATTTTTCTGCCCGTATGAGATATGAGTATAGGATAATGTGCGCTGTGCTGCCAAAGGTTCGCTGCAACTGATGGTCTTTTCACATTTCAAAATGTAGATTTTATAAAAAGTTATAGCAAGTTAAAGTGAAAAATGGAAAGACGCCCATTATTTTTGCATAAATCTAATATTAGTTCATTCCGAAAGTAATTTCGCTTCCTTCAAACGGGCGCCGCATTTAATGGAACAAAGATTTTTAAGAGATCTTGGTAGCTTTCGATGCAGAATTTCATCCTCTTACTAACGGTTATAAAACTATCGCAGCACAGTCAATGAGCTTTTGGAAAATTACGAAAGTCTGCGATCCATGCTTTTTGAGACGCATAAGTTTCACAATTTTTCTAAATTTGTACATCAAACCTCCGAAGGAGTCCAAGTAACGTTTCGATAGAGCAGACCTTATAGGATACAAAACCATTTTTTTCTCCTTCACATATCTCCTCAAAATCTTTAGTAGAGTTTTATTGACGCTACCAATTTCCATTCTTGGTCAACTCATCGTAGAACATCAAACGGTAAGCAGCTCGAGCTAAAGGATGTTTTTTGTTTGCCCTTCGTGGAGTTTTCGCATACAAAATCATTATAATTCATGTTTTCGAACGTGTTCCGGGCTGTACCCAGAAGAATCGAAATTAGATATTTCGATTCCGTAAACTCGCATTCGCCTTGAAAAATTGGTGCTAAATCATAATACCATCCTGGAAGGTTTATATTCCGAAGATTTATTGGTGTTTGATGCGAATGTGGCTGACGAAGGCTTGTCAAAATTCGATGGTTTTAATAATAAATCTTTTGAGAAATTATGGCGAGATATAAAAACTACAAAAAATTTACGCCGTATCCTATGAGGTTTGCTCTATCGAATCTTTACTTGGACTCCTTCTGAAAATTGATATAAAAGTTTTAAAAAATCGTGAAACTTGACCATCTCAAAAAGCATAGGTCGCAAGTTTTGTTTATTTTCTAAAAACTCATTAATTTTGTTGCAACACTTTCATAGCCATTAGAAAGAGAATGAAATGCTTCGAATGCTGCCAAGACCTCCCAGAAATCTTTGTTCCATCACATGTGGCGTCCGTTTGAAAAAAGCGAAATCACTTTCGGAATGACCTAATATTAGGTACATTCCGAAAGTAATTTCGCTTTTTATTGTTATTTTTATTGAATAAGGGTTCCCTTACTGTTTTTTTACGTCAAGAACATCGTAAATTTTCGCGAAGTTATGGAGGAACTTCGTTCCCAAAATTGCTCCAAACCAACGCGTGCCGGGCCCTGACTTGCGCATCTTGAAGTTTCAGCTTTCTTATGAAGTTTTTTCAAACTTCATAAAAGAGTTGATTTTTTTCTTTTCATCTATCACCTTAAAATGGGTTGAAGAATATACTCTCAAAAAATTGCAGTGAAAAATATGCGAAAAGTTCAAAAATGGGCTTAGTCCCAGCTCACCTTGCTGCTGAGAGCAAAAATGGGCTCAAGTCTATTTGAAATGGAGTAAATCATAATGCCCCATTGCAAATGGACTTTCTGCATGACTCTTTCACAAACGAGAGCTCAGCTAAGGTTAAATCATTTTCATTACACCGCCTTACCACGTAGTGGCGATGGGATAAAAAATCGTGGATCACGAGCGATAGAAGATTACGACCAGTCGAGTAAAATGGGGTTTGAAAGTCCATTTTCCTCCATTATGGACTTTCGTGAATATCATTCCTGGACACGATCGCAGAAAGGCTCTTTTGGGACACGCAGAAAGGTTCTTTTCATGAAAACTGTGGCATCGTCTATACTCCCAAAGGTCACTGAAGTAGCGATTTGAAAAGGGCTACTGATCCTTGACTCTTCGCAGGTGTGAATGAAATCAAAAAGTAGTGTAAGTGGACTTACAGAGCGTTCCTACTTTCCCAAATCAAACCGACTTCCTTTACGAACTTACTAATTTTAGTCTTTACTCCCATTATCCATCACTACACAGATCGAAGTATTTACAGAGGTCAAATGCACTGCAATTAACCAGAAAAACCTGTCGACGTGCACTAGTATATAAGTCTCACAAAGCGGCGAAGTGCTGTTGAAGGATGGCTCATGTTTGCTTATTACTGACTGTGAGACCTTGTAGATAACTTGTTCGGCAATACTCGATAAGAATTATTCAAGGTACTCTTTCTGCATGCTCTTCTAACTCCTGCAGCCGAGGTCGCGGGTTCCGTCCAAGGAACAATGGTTGTAACTATGGAAGATCAAGTACCAGTATCAGGAGCAGAAGTGGGAGCGTTGGATGCAAGTGGTGAAGAAACAGCAGCAGTGGGAAATAGTGTGAAAGGAGAAGAAGCATTAAGTGGTGAAGGACGAGCAAAAGCAGGCGAACATTCAAAAGAAGAAGCAGCAGGTGCCTTAGAGGGAGCAGCACCAGGAATGAATAGTGCAGGAGCAAAAGGTGCGGATGGAGAAGAGGGACCAAGAGCTGATGGGGAAGAAGCAGTAAGTCCCAAAAAGCAACCAGCGGAAGGTGATGGGGCAGATGAGGTGCCTCCAGAAGACGACGGATACGACTACGACTATAACGAGGCAGTTCCTAAATGGCTAGAGAACACTCTGAAATTGACGTCTGATGTTGAAGATACTATGGGATTCAGACTCGAACCGAGGAAGTTATTGGTATGTTTGTCACACTTGCAAACTTCAGAATTTATTTACAGTCAAATAAGACCAAATATGTTGCTTTCAACTGCAAAGTTGACACCCTGTTATCTGATTACAGTACCGCCGGTGCCGGCGCTAAGATTTGCAAACGCGAAATCGGTCGGAAGCGCCGCGTCGGTACTCTATAAGTCCGTTTTCAACAAAGGCATATATTTATTAACACATTGACGACCATGCAGGTTTTTGGTTGTCTGCCTTTTGGGACCAAGGCCTTTTACGGATCAGCTCACATTTCTCAACTATAATCACGTATACTGCCATCTACAGTACGTCTACAGTAAATCTGAAAGGCTGGCAAAAAAGGAGGAGGGCATCCCTAGATTTAGTGCAAAAGGAAGCTCGTGGAGTGAGTTTATCCCAGGATAGTAGTCATTTTAACGAAATTCAAGCCTTGACACACATGGTGTGTCAAGCGATCCCATGCGGTAGTCATGGCTTGACACATCATGTGCGCCAAGCGGTCGTCAATGTGTTAAAAATTCGAAGCTTTTTAATCATAAGATTCTTGAACATTTGCGACCTAATATAATTTGAAAAAACATTTTTTACATTCTCCGAATTTCCAAATTAGAAGCACCAAAATCTTTCCAACGTATCAGTTTAGGAGTTAAAACAATTAATAAGGATAGAGTACGATAAAGGCTTTCAATAGCACATGCACTTTCCATTGAAAGCCGCATTAATTAATTTCAGAAAATTGAAGAGAAGAAGCTTACGAATATTAAACAACATATGTACTAAAAATACTGAATCACCTATGTACAGAGATTGAGTGATCAAGCAAGCGAATACAGATTAGAGATGGTTTTAGCAGCTAAATTTTGGTTGACTATCTCAATTGCTAGATCACTTCCTGAAAAATCTCGCTCTCTTACTTATTCCGGGCAGAACTGTTAGAAGAGCTTTTGTTTAGAAGCGATCAAAGATTGAGCACTTTGAAAAAACATGTTGTTACAAAGGGAGACTCTTTTGAGTTTGTTTTGATTCTTATTCCATCTAAAAAAATCATGTGCTAGACAAACTAAAGATTATTCCAGCGAGACGAAGAACATTACAAGGCGATGGTTAAAGCAAGCATCGAGACCCAAGAAGTTCGGGAACATTTCAATCGCGGTGAAAAATATGTAAATTCCAAAGCTAAGGCTAGAGTGGATTTGGATTCCGTTAAAACAGAAGTAGTCATCATGGAATGTTTCTTCAACTCTACAAAGTAAGTTCTATTGTTTTTTCAATGTAAAACCTTGAGTGATGATATCACAGGATGACCAATGAACAGTTCCTTGGAAGATGTGCGCCGTGCCTCAACCAAGTAAGTTGCTAGAATGAGCATCGTTATTTATGTTATGCACGTGGGTGAATCAGTGCCTTTTCCATTAAGAAACAACGGGATACGGTAAGATAAAGAAAATTTGGAGCAGGTGCACTAGGTTTGAACTAATCAAATCTCAAATTTGCTTCTAGTCCTAAACAGTTTCTTAGGCTCTAGACGGATAGAGTAAGCTTTGCAGTATAAGTACAAATCATTTCTAGAATACTGATTGAGAAGGGTTCTCTGTGCCACCTCACTTTATTGGGCAGAATATGAACAAAGGGTAGATATGAAATGTTCGCCATCTAGAGCGTAAGTTCTACTGTTTGAATTCTCAAAAGTCCTTCAATCAAGTATGCTGGTCTGAAAGGCAAGTATATGTTTAATCCTTCTCTAGCAAGCCAGGACATAATATTGCTTATTAGCTAATTTAGCAAGGCAGAATCGGTTAACAGCTCCAGCAGGTTTGGTAATTTAGAAGAGATGAATTTTGATACATAATGTGAAGGGGGAAAGGAAACTGCAGGGGATGGCACCGAGTTCGTCTCAACAGTAATGTGAGATTTGATGCTCCTTTTAAAGAAAATTCTGAGCTGATTCAACGCTTAAAGGTTATTTCAGTGATTGAATTGGAAAGCACTAACTTCTTCGCTTCACAGTAAGCGTGATTATTTTTTTCTCCTTCAAAACTGTAACTCTCTATCATAACTTTCGTTTTCACAAACAATTGGTCGGAGGATTTGGATGTTAAGCATCTTTCACTGAATGCCTTAAATTTGTTTGTTTTGCTACATAATACAGGGTGTCCCAGAAAGATGTACACACTGTTTGATCGTTAATTCCTATCCTGCTTTCATGTCCTTTGCCGCGATTGAGGCGCCTTTCTGTAAATCGAGGTTTAACTTAGATTTGCAGTGTGGAGCGAATGATCGATTGCTCTTCACTACTGTAAGATTGCGATAGAAAATTTGAGGGGGATTTTAAGCCATTGAAAGCGGTATTTTGCCGGTTTCTGCCTCGGAAAGGAAACCAAACAAGCCAGAAACTCTTGTACTAAACTAGTAGAAGTCGTTGACTCTAAGTATGAAATTTGCACTTAGCATTATGCTTCTTTCATAAGTTATTTTTGTTTTGGGATAACAACTGTTTTTCCAATATTCGTCAGAAATGTGAATACGCCATCAAGAAAGCACGAAAAACTCATGAAAAGTCAGGTAGTGGAATCAGCACGCCTGAAAACCTTGCCACGCAAATTTTCAGGTTTCATGAAGTTAGATCGCTAAAAAGCCTATTCCACAGTGAAGCTGTACGCTAAATGTTCATACCATAATCCTACAGCAATGAAGAGTGATTGGTGATTCGCTCCACACAGCAAATCTAAGTTGAAACTCGGTCTACAGAATGGCGCCTTAAGCTCGGCAAAAGACACGAAAGCAGGAGAGTTATTAACGATCAAACAGTGTGTACATCTTTCTGGGACACCCTGTATTATGTAGCAAAACAAACAAATTTGAGACAAAGTTTCAAGTTTGTCGGTTTTTTCATCGCTCACTAAAACTTATAGAGCATCACTCCATAGACTATCTAGGTACCACTTGATTCACATTTTTATCCTCTTTCTTACAGCTACATTTGACTTCTGATCTACTTTGTTTTCGCGATTATCGCCATGGCTTTCAGAGCAGCCCAACAGTGGTGTCAAACATTTCTTAAATTCTAAAAATTTTTAGGCCTTTTCAAAAAATGCTAGGACTATTATGCAGAGCAATCCTTTGGCTATATTGTATCCATTTTATATTACATAGGTCATTTACCAAGTCCGTTTTAATTATTAGGTTGTCTCGAAAGTTCTGTCGGTTCATTTTTGAAAATTTGTAAGTTTTCGCTGTCTCAACGGATTTGCTTATTTCTAATTCTTTTAGAAAGAATAATTCTTCCTCTTTGTGAGGCTATCTTGGCAAGCTCCAACTATACATTCACTGCAAAGATAAAAAGGAAAAAGAAGACTAGTTGAGCTCAGATCATTTTAAATTAGGTCACCAAAAGTCTGGAACGCCGCAGAAAAGATGTCAGTATAAAGTCTTATGACCTTACCTCTGCATTTGAGGAAAAATTGCGCGGTTCAGACGTTTCAGTGAAAAGTTAAGATTCTCAAGAAAAGTGACAAATCAATCAATTTTAGCGTTTTCTATTGTGAACTCGAAAATTATAGATTTTCACAGAGACATCCGAACAACACATTCTTTTCTTACAAGGGAAGGATACTTGATCGCAGTGACGATTGGGTAAGCGGTGTATACCGCGTATACCATCCCCAGACGTTGATCTCTAAACCGCATTCCATATCTGCTATGACGTCATTCTGGAGGAGTTGTAAAGAACTTTTGGTGCAGTGGATAATGGCTTGGACTGCAGGGCTGTACGTCGTGGGTTCGATTCCTCTGGGATGCCACCCGTTTTGCATTTTTGTAATTTTTTAACAGGCAAGTTGCAAAACCTGTCGACATCAAAAAAGTTGATTTTCACAATATGAAGCAATATATTTACATTTTTTGGCATTGAACCACCGCCTAACCTAAAAACACTCGTTTTTAGCCTTTTTCATTAAATACTTTACTCAATTTTACATCAAAAAATACCGAATTCATGCTTAGCATAGAGAGGAGCAGCTAACCTGTCATTTACAAAAATGCAAAACTGGTGGCATCGCAGAGGAATCGAACCCACGACGTCCTGCTCCGCAGTCCAAGCCACTATCCACTGCACCAGAAATTCTTTGTAACTTCTCCAGAATGAAGTCATAAGATATGGAATGCGGTTTAGAGGTCATCGTCTGGGGACGGTATACGCGGTATACACCGCTTACCCAGTCGTCACTGCGATCAAGTATCCTTCCCTTGTTAGTTGCAGAGAATAGGCCATAAAACTTATACACTGACAATTTCAGATTTTTCTGCGGCATTCCATACTTTTGGCAACCTAACTTAAAATGATCTGAGCTCAAGTGGTCCCCTTTAGGAAGAATTCTCCTTTCTAATGAAAATAAGGATAAGCAAATCCGTTGAGACAACAAGAAGTCACAAATTTTCAAAAATGAAACGACAGAACTTTCGAGACAACCTAATATTCATCTAACGAAAACCGCGACTTTTTGATTACGTTTCCCACGTAAAAGTACCGAAAAATTCGAAAAGCTGCTTTTTCAAAGCAAATCAAACTTGATTATGTTGCATGAAAGATGTATAATAAGAATTGTGTTGTTTCAATTCACAGAAATTCAAAAAGCTTTCTGTATTTACTGCAGTTGCGTGTTTCATGACGTTGCCGAAAATGAACATCCGAAGAAATAATTTCTTAAGCTATGGACAGCAGATGAGCAGAATCTAGAAATATTCTCTTGTATCCGAAAATTGCTCTATTTGATTCATACTCAACCTTTACCGAAACTTTGGAGAGAAATTTTTGAAAATTAGCCTAACTTTGAGCAGATAGTGGTGAATCTTGGCAATTATCAAAGTATACAAGATTATGGTCCGAAAATGTATCCACAAGAAAGAGAACGAAAAGCTGCATCAAATGCGTATTGAAACTTTTCCAGGTTTTATTGTGAGTGGTTTCATAGCGGTTTGGAAAAACCCTCAAAACTTTCGGGACAACCTAATACATGCCCATATACCGTATTGAATTTTGTGTGAGCATCTTCTTTCATGTCTTCTTTCCCTTAGGCCTTGAATATACCTCGAGCCATTTCCTTTCAAAATAGCAACGATACACGATCTGGCAATTTGCCAGATGTTTGCAAATTTCCGCATGTGGAATTCAAATGTGTAGTGCATAACTTTTGTAAGATTATGCGTCCATGCCAGATCTTGCTTACAGAGTATGCGCTTATGAACAATCGTGGCATATAAAAATCGCACTGCGACGAGGTATGACCGATCTCTTATGGAAACTGATTAGGCGCCTATAAGGACAACCATCTCTCGTTGTGAACAAAAATTACAGAAAAGTGAAAGCTGCACTATCTTTCAAAAATGTTGGCACCTGCACTATTTTTTAAAAACAATGTAATAGGGCTTTCGAATGGAACTATACTAGATTTTACGATGAAAATGGCAGAAGCTTGAAAAAGAGAAGTCGTATTAGTTGTGAGGTATTTGAACAGTTCTTTCTAACTTTCACTTAAGTAGGTCATAAGATCAAACAACATGTTTTTGTCCAACTAAACCGTCAAACACTTTTTAGTTCCTAAATGCAAAACTTGAGCAATGCATTATTAATGTGAGTTTTCATGGTATGCTTAATAGATTTCGCTTTGAGCATCACTGAAAGCGCATGTGTCTTTGTCGAATCAAACGAACTTTGTAGTAGCTTACAATATTATGGTACCTCGGTGTAAGATTTTTGTCTCAACTTAGTATGACAATTTGTAGATTATTATTTAAATTATAGTTTTTTCTGTAAGGAAAGTTTCGAAATCATGATTTATCGCAATAAGGATATTACGATAAGGTCAAAATAAGCTGAAGAAATCGCGATGTGACCTGCCCGTCAAACCATCCCACTTAGTTATCTGATTAAAAAGCGCGGAGAAAACCGTTACAGATGTTTTGATGCGTGCTCAAATCATTTTGCAGTAGCACTTTGTAAAAACACTCTTACTAGCAGTTAAGCCACTTCTCTTAGCTGTGTTTCGAGTTATAACACCTGATCGACGACGCCTTTTTCAGAACCTGCGTGATATATCAACTCAAGATAGTGGTGTTGTGCATATGGGCTGCTATTGTCATGAAAACATTCAAGACATTTGCGGCTGTTCATTCTCAAAGTATACGTATTCAAACTTGGACGGTTGGGGCATATTCAAACTGTATGGTGTGTACCAACGAGAAGAGGTCTGAACAGAGCATAGTTTTCACAACTTCTTGCTTGACTGATATAGTCGGTTTTGCTGTTTATCGATATCGCTTAAAATTCTCATGGGCTAGACGATAGCGATATGCTTCAGCACTGGTAGTGCAACAAGCTTTATGTCTTTGACGGAATAGTAATTGAAATGGTATCAGTATTCCGTTAAAGATGTAGAGCCTACAAAATTTTACTAATGTTCGTTCTTCAAGTATTAGTTTTCTCGACACGACTCCATCGTGCACTACTTGCAACACTCTTAGCCAGGATAAAGCGGGGGGTGCGGCACGCGACCGCCGGATACGACCCCCCCCCCCTTGGGCCGGACCTCGGCACGACCCCCTCCCCATTCCCTACCCCCCCCCCCCCCCCCACCGATCAAACTTGTCCACATGAGAGTCTACTTGCACTTTAGCCCTCTAGTAATGTTTATCTCCCAATACTGGAACTGTACATTCAACATACTCAGGTTTTACGAAACTCGCGCATCATCATGTTAAGGAAAGAAGCGCACAGGAACATGCATTATACTAAGGTTCCAGGCATACATTCGATTTCAGTCGATTTCAGCACTGAATCAACCACAGACCTTATTCAAAGCGATCAAGACTGGCTTGTTACCAAACAATGGTCTTATAGAATGTCTTATAGAAAAGACATACAAGTGCAAAAGATCTTGTGGCATTCACAGTACTCGGTACTACCACCTGAGACGCACATTTCAACGGATTACCATAATCCACAATCCAGGCTCAACAAAACAACGACAGGACTTCTAGACTTCAGCTCTTTGCAATTTCCTGCACTAAGAGCATGGCTCCTTTGAAGGTATATTCTTTGAGCTGCTTCATGTTGACAGCCTCCTTCACCTTCTGTCTAACAATATCCGCTCCGCACTGAATCATTTTCAACAATACATGACAACCCTAAAATAACTATGGTGTTATTTTATTTAAGACCAGTGCTTCACCTCTGCTTCGCAGAGGTTCGTACTGGCATCGTGAACCGTGATAAACTCACTTTCTGAGAGCTTGTCTCTCAAATCATTGTTCGGTTTATTGCAACGTGAGTCGTAGTTAAAAATGAACCACACTCGCTATCTTAACCTCACATGATGTTTAGTATCGTAAACCATTCCTCACTGTAATTTCGTAACGGACAAACTCCACACCACTTCAGATTAAGCCGCTTATTATAAGTCATGATAACGGGAATAAAAGTAACCGACTTTGTTGCAACAGATCCAAGATCCCAACTCCTCTTTGGTCAGTTCACCAACTCAAGTGAAAGCTGTTGATCTTCGGGCAAAGATTGGTCGCATCTAAACGATATAAAGCCGAATGTCGTAAAATTGAGTACAAAAAAGGCTTTGTAACGGTCTTGTGCTTTTCTTTCATTGCCGATTTGCAAAATCCTTATCTCTCTTGATTTCTGTTATACAACATTTCCAAAAAGAATAAAAGTAGTACATATAGGAAAGGAGAGAAAAGAAGGCAATATTGCTGTTTACAGTAACTATATTTACAAACACATCTCTCAAGATTTAAAAGCTTAGTGTAGCTGTTCTCGCTCTTACCCCACCATCTTAGATAAAGTCCTACAAAGACTTAAAAAGATGCTAAAATTGCTGAGATAGAGCTACAATTATTAAAAAAAACATACCTGCTTAGCCAGTTGCGCTATGGCTTCATTACAATGCTTTCGCATCTCGAGTGGGACTTGCCGATCGAACAGATCGTAGTCACCTCAAATTAGCTATGCATTAACCGCAGCAGGAACAAAATCTAAACTCACTTGTGATCTCCAACGATGCGGCAACAAATTTTGACCTGTTGTGCTCAAATATGAGGCTTTCCATGTTATCGGCAAGATAAGCGTAAAGACTTTCGCAGATATGCCGATAAATCTCGGCATATCGATCTTTCTTCTCTTTCTTGCTGAACGGATTCGCATCGCCCTGAACGGTACAAAAGTATTACGTACAACATTCTCTTAAAAATCCTCTGCTTTAGGCCCTGGCAGACTTCACTCAAGCGCCCAAAAGCGCGCAAAAGCGCCCAAATTTCTCTGGTGTCTCTTCACTTTCCCGTGTGAGGAGAGATAAGAGAGAATGAGGGAAAATTAGAGAAGTTTGGGCGCTTTTGGGCGCTTTTGAGCGAACTCTGGCCAGGGCCTTAGAGTACACTGTTTTTGCAAAGAAAAGTTCACTACAATCGCGAATTCTCGGGCAACACCGGCATGAAAGTGCGATGTAAAATACAGAAGCATGGATTCAAAGAAATGGAACACTGTGAAACGAATAATACGGAATAAAATAAAAGCAAATGTACCTTTTTCAACAGCTCGATTTCGTCCCGGAGCATGCCGCGACCATCACGGATGAACAATATAATGCAAGACTTTCTCTCCCCAAGTGTCCAAGACTAATTTGTTGATCTCGTTGCTGAGTTACTATAACAGAAATTCACCGTCACTATTGGACTCATGTGAAAACAAGATGTACGATTTCTGGAATTGGTGATTGATAGACTGTTTAGAACATTAACAAGTGAAGCTGAGCATCTTCCAATAGAACAAGATTCAACAATGCGAGATATGACTGCAATATGAAGGGATCAGCATAAGTTTGCATAAAGAGCAAGGATGAATTTCACGCCTCACAAATCATGTTCTCAACTGATCATGTGGGGATAAGAAAAAGAGCTCACACTTATGCTTGTTCACGAGTTTCGTCAACGCTATCGAAAATCGCCATGAGAACTCGATGCCCAAATGCTCCATTGCGACTTTCACAGCCAGATCTTTGAAGTTCTTCACAATCAACTACAAATTTTTTTAGATGCTGTTCCGAGAACTTGAGAAAAATTATGCATGTCACTTACCTTTCTATCCTTTGCATTAGCGTTCCAGATACATTGCATGGCAACTATGGCACCATCTGGTGTATGCACAATTTCGGGAATCCTATCCTTGAGCGAGTCAATCAAATTTGTGCGCTGATCTGGATCGCAGTGGGTGATGTAGTCTCGCAAAAGTCGGTGACAAAGAGATAATCGAACAGTGGTTCTGAAAAAAACGAGCAACTTTGAGCCCGCATGTATCTCGAACTTGCTCACTTATCAACCGAAGTGAAGATTTGCTCCTCAAGGTGCTGAATAATTAACTTCTTCTTGTTCGGTTCCTCAGCTACGATCTCATATATCTAGCCATACTAGAAAGATGGAACTGCGAGTGAAGGTCACGGAAGGTCACGAGCAAAACAAGAAGAAGACACGCTACTACAAACGAGTGCAAAGCGAAAAAAAGGGAGACACTACAATAAAAAAAGAAACAGAAACACAGAAACATAGAAAACAGACTGTATTATAGATCCCAACGGGTCATCGACTTGGCACAGTAGTTAAATCCAGGCGTAGAGGGATTGCGTAGCTGCAGTGACTGCACAAACTTCGCCAAAAATATCATGCTGAGGTTGTCCTTCAGAAAGGATGGAAATCAAGTGGTGCGCACTTGCATATGCTGTGTCAAGTGTACGAGTTAATTACTCTCGTCACTTGATCCCTCTACCCTTGTTTCCTGCTTCTTAACAGAACAAATCTTGACTAGATGATTTTATCATTATAGCATATATATAAAATTGGGGGACATAATTGGGGAGGGGACCACCGAGCACCCGGGGAGTGCCAGCTCATCTGGAGATTCCGGGCACCGCCCAGTTGGCGTGGAGACTGTCGGACCATCTAATTATCTGCGTCTCGACATGTCCATTCCATTGTAAAGCTCGTCCTCGAGCTTTCATCTTTGACCATGGCTTCGGGAAGGAATTCATCAAAGCATTTGATCATCTCAGAGTACACATCGACCATTTGACCATCATCAACCATGCTGTCATCACTGTCATCATCATCGATCGCTCTATCGTCGTCATTGCATCATTGATCGAGTTCTTTCATACGTCGACTCATCATTGATCGATTTTTTTCATCATTCTTATAGATTGATTGCCGCACAATTGATGGCGCTGCTTGCTCGTACATTGATCATCTGCGATTGGCATTCATCTTCGAAAACCATTCATCTTTTTCGTTGTTGCTTTCGTGGGGGATCGAACTTCATTGGCTGGGTTGCATCTGCTGGTGGCTGGGTTGGATCTGCTGGATTGCGTCTTCACGTTGCATAGAGGAGGAGCCGGTAAGAGACAAGGTAAACAGAAGGGCGAACGCCAAAAGGCGAAGCGCACGCTCCCGTACGTCCCGTCAATAAAGTAAAGCTCGTCCTCGAGCGGAAGAGATAAGAATTACGTTGCAGAATAGGATAGTTATTCAATACCGACTTGGATAAGAGGATCATTTTCATGGGGATATGGAGGAGGGATGAAATCACACGCAATAGAATGGTATAAACATTACAAAAAGTAAAAAATCAGATGTAAAACATGAAATATTGAACGAAAAGATAGAATGTGTCATTCTATGTTTTCGCTACTCACAAATATTGGCATATATGCATTGAAATTTCACAACATTTGGTTTTCGAGTTTGCAACTCAAGAGGAAACAATTTCCTAGCGTTGCTCACAAGGGCTTGAAGAAAAAAGTGAATGTTTAAAAGCGTTCTTCGACCCGCCAATCGAAGAATTCTTTCTATTTATAGTGCGTATGCTTGCGGCAAACTTACTTTGTACCAGTAGCCGCTGCGTTAATGAAATTTTTTGTGAGGTTGCTACTGGCACCTCTCACTCATTATGAGGGAGACCAAACAGTCCTTTGTCTCAGACGCTCTGAACATCTGAGATTAGGCACCCTGGAACGTGGAGTCTCTGCCTCTGTGTGACTAGATTGTGGTTGCACAGAGACTTCACGCTCTTGCGGCCTGCTGTAATACAATTTGAGTCTATTCACATGCACTGTTTGTGACTTATTGTTGAATAGACTTTTAATGGTGACATTGGGACGGCACATGGAGACAATCACAAATGGGCCTTTCCATTGGAGGGTAAATTTGGGACGCACTGTGTCGTCATGCAACAATACAAGATCTCCAATAGAAAGGTCCTTACTGTATACCTTCTTCTGATAATCGTAACCAGCCTTGTAGTCAGCCGTTTTTGCTGCTATGCTGGATCCCACTTCCACTATCGTAGTTTGCAGGGCTGTCGTAAACTCGCCTGCGAAGTTATCTGTAGCAAAAGTGAGAGTAGAAGGTAATTTGTGAATGACGTCCATCCATGTGACCGGATGTCTACCGTGTATCACGAAGAACGGACTGTACCCTATCGTATCGTTTTTGCTACAATTGTAGGCAAAAACGATAGGTTGGAGGAATTCCATCCACAAGTCTCTGGCTTCTGAGCAGTAGACTGTGAGAGAATCCGTGACAACTTTTACCATCCTTTCAACCTGGCCGTTCGCCTTATGGTTATAGCTGGTGGTAAAGTTGTTTGCAACTCCTAATGTCCTGTTTACCTGAGTGAGAAGGTCACTTACATAGTTTGAGCCTCTGTCGCTAACGATTTCGTTGGGAATCCCGTGCTTGCATACCACATCGTTAATTAGCGCTTTTACTACCAGATCAGCCGTTTGATTTATCAAAGGCGTACAGATGATGTAATTACTGAACGCGCAGACCGTAATAGCTATGAATCTGCTACCATCAATACACTGTGGCAATGGTCCTATCACATCAATGTGTATACGCTCAAAAGGACGCTGAGGAATGGGAAAAGTTCCCAGTTCCTCGCGAATGATATTTTCTGCTGGTGTTTTCACCTTTTGGCAGGCTGCGCAAGATCTTACATAGTTTGCGATGTTCTGATACATGTTCGGCCAGTAGTACTTATCTGACACGTTTATGTACGTTTTGCGAATTCCCAAGTGAGAACCTAACAAAGGATTATCATAAAGAAGTTTTACGATCTGATTCTGATGTTCAGGGTCGGGTATGACAAGTTTTGGTCTTTCGTTGGCCTTGTAGTACAATGCCCCATTGAAAATGGAATATTTGTCTAATGAACTCAAAAACTGCTGTGGAGGGTTTTCAGCATTTCCTGTTAAGAAGGTGATCAAACTTCCAAAATAAGAATTTTGCTGGCTTTCCCTGATGGTATCTAAGCTAGGAATTGAGTCAGGGGCAGTAGCGATGTTCATTACCACTGGATAACGGCTCAAAAAGTCGCAAAACTTGTTATGTTTACCCGGTCGATATTCAATTTTCAGATCGTAAGCTTGTATCATGATTTGGTATTTCGCCAAACGTCCAACAAGATCTGATCTGTACAATAGTGACTTCAACGGAGCATGATCAGTGACAAGTGTTATAGAGGCATCAGCAACGTACGGGTAGAAATGTTTAAGCGCAAAGACTATCGCAAGTGCCTCAAGCTCTATTATTGAGTAATTTTGCTCATGCTTGTTCAGTGGGCGACTACAATACGCGATTGGGTGCTCGTTCAGCGTTTGCGGATTTTGCTGGAGTAAGCATGCACCTAAGCCTATAGTCGAATCATCCGTGTGAATAATGTACGGTTTGCCTATTACAGGAGACGCAAGAGTTGGAGCGGTTGTAAGCGCGTTTTTTAAAGAAACGAATGCTTTCTCATGAAGATCAGTCCATTGAAATGGAGTATTTTTCAGAAGAAGAGCATTCAAAGGAGCGGCAACATATGAAAAACGTGGTATGAATCTGCGAAAGTATGAAGCTGCACCCAAAAAAGACTTGACAGCTTTAGTATCCTGAGGTCTAGGTATCTTGGTGATACTAGCTATCTTTTCTGGATTCAGTCTTGTTCCGCTCTTGCTTATGAGAACTCCCAAGTATGGAACTTCTTCTTGCATAAATGAGCATTTTTCCGCTGTAAGTTTCATACCAAAGTTCGCTATGCGTTGCAAAACCTTTTCTAGATCACGAAAATGGTCATCAATGGAATGACTGGCGATAATGATATCATACAAATAGGCGAAACAGCAAGCTTTCAATTATCTTATCAAGCTGTTTGCGACTCTTTGGAAAGTACCGGGGGCGCCTTTCAAACCTTGGGCCATCACAGTGAAATGGAAGAGTCCAAGAAAAGAAGAAAATGCCGTTCTCTCTTTATGTTTTTCTTCGAGAGGTATTTGAAAAAACCCACTTTTGAAGTCCAGAGTACTGTAAACTTCTTTACCGCTTGCTAAATCAATGATGTCCTGAATATGAGGGATACAGTAGGTCTCATTTTCAGTTATAGCGTTTATTTGGCGGTAGTCTACTGTAAATCGCCACTGGTTTGTTGAGGGCTTTTTGACTAGAACGATAGGTGATGCGAATTTACTAGTGCTCGGCTCTATTATGCGCGTGCGGAGCATTTCCTCAATCTGTCTTTGAATTTCCTGACGCTTCTCTAAAGGTACCCTGTTGGGACGCTGTTTTGGTACTGTAGCATGAGGAACGAACTTGATTTTATGAGAAATTGGACCTGTGTATCTTCCTAAGTTACCATCCGATCCTACGAAGCATTTTTGATACTTTTTAAGAAGATTGTTAAATTGGGAAGGTTGTTGTTTTGTGAGTAAACTGCGATTAACTTTATCACGTTCCCATAGGGGTGGACCTTGAGGTCTTTGAGGAAAATTAGGAAGATTTGCGGCTATGTCCGCTTCAGGTGAGGTGTAGTGAACTGGATTTTGATATGTGTTAGAGGAATTAGTGGGATGAATTTCAAAAACAGCTGGCCATTGTTGGGCAGATCCAACGAATTCAGCATTTGCGACTATTTGATCCTTACCTAGTTTTACATCAGTAGGATTAGAGTTGAAAATGCGTAGCAAGATTGTGCCATTCAAACCAGGACATGAAAGAGTTTTGCCTATCACAACGCCTTCTGGTAAGGTGAGTGTTTGGTCGTCACATGTCAAAAATTCCCAGTCGGGAGGATAAAAAGATTCTATGCGACCTTGTACAACAGTATCAGAAAGTGGTTTGAGGGTAGTTTTGCAAGATAAGCGAACAGGTTCGATAAGCATGAGATCACTATTAGGATCAACCATTGGCACCGAACTTTTTTCGAAAACAACCTGTTTTTCTTTATAGTTTATTGTTACGCTTGTAGATAACTTTGTTATTGAGTCATTACCCAAAAGTAAATCTGTTGAGCAATGTGCATCACTGACTACAAATGGTGTGACTGTAATGACAATGTTACCTACAGAAAGAGTGGCTGAAATTTGAC